GCGAGTATGCAGCCCACTACACCATGGGGGCTCCTGAGCCATTGCAAGCAAAGGTCAAAACCACGCACCCTCCCACCACTCCCCCAAAAACCTCTTTGTAGGACTTCGTAGGCCGTGTTTGGTTAGTTAACAGCGCACTCTCACTTTCATATTGAGTTTCTCCAGATAACGGATAAAAACAGCCAGTCACTAAGCAGTTTAACAAAAAGGCTATAGTGTTGCTGACATCGGCTGCCCCAGATATGTCCTCGGTCCACAACTTAGTGCTTCTTGAGATTTATATATATATATAATCAGGATTTCTCAGCCTCAGTGCTAACGGTAGCTTGGCAGGGATAACTTTTTGTTGTGAGGGCCTGTTTTGCGCCCTGTAAAACCATAACCAAACTTACTGCCGTGGAGTTGATTCTGTGGGTTTCGGGGACCCCCTTCTCACAGGAGCAGAAAGCCTCATCTCTCTCCCGTGGAGCTGCTGGTGGTTCCAAACTGCTGACCTTGGGGTTGGCGGCCTGACTCTCATACCCCCTGGATGCTTCCTAGCACACAGAGGTGACGGCCCCCTCCCCAGTAGATGCCGGTGGCATCCACAAGACCCAGTAGCATCAACTAGTTGAGTTCCACTCATGACCACCCCGAGCGTGTCAGAGTGGAGTTTTCGGAAGTGACCTGAGTTTTCGGAAGTGACTTGCCTGGTCTTTCTTGCGAAGTACCTCTGAGTCGCTGCCAAGTGTTTTCACCACCTGCACCACTCAGGGACTCCGAGGAGGGTGATCACACATTACCAGAGGTAGCCCGAGGGCAAAACCACCTCTGGCGCCTGAGGTTAATGAGGGGAAGAAAGCAGAAGATGCTGTGTGTTGCTTCATCCAAAGAGTTCAAGGTCAGGATCAAATGTTTGCCTGAATGTCTTAATCCCCGCCCCCTCCCCCCAGATCTGTGGTATTATCTGGCACAAGGGTGGTAAAACGTAAAAACCAAAGGCACGTCCATCCAGTCAATGCCCATGCCAACACCCAGCAACCCCACAGGACAGGGAAGAACGGTCCCTGTGAGTTTCCGAGACTGAAATCCTTTACTGAGAATGAAAAGCCCCATCTTTCTCCCTCGAAGCCACGGGTGGGGTTTTTTGGTGTGTTTGAACTGCTGACCTTGCAGCCCCACACGTAACCACTCCCCCACCAGGGATCCTTACGAGGGCAGTCGGTACACACTGACTAATACCGTTTTTTGAATATCAGGGAGTGGGGCAAGTAAAGGGCTGAAACCCCCCCACCGTGTCTCTTTTCTGCGCACACCTTGGGGATTTGGGGACGTTGATGGTGCTTCTATTTAAGTCTCAGGTCTGGGAGGGGAATGGGAGTGTCGGTTCACATGTCCAAACCCTTCTTGCTTTCTCTCTCCTCCCTCCCTCCCTTTCTTTTTAACCTTGATTGCTCACATTGAAAACTAGGAGATGGCAGTGGTGAATTCCCAGGTGTGAGCGCTCTGGAGGTTTCCCAGCGACACCTGCTGCATTTCCCAGGAGAGCTTCAGAGGGTCCTTTCCAGGGGCCTGGCCCTTGCTGTGCACGGGTTCACAAGCGCTCCCTTACAGCACTATGGGTTCTGGGTTCGAGTCAAGGTGTGAGCGAGGGAGGGAGGGAAGCCCGCACAGGAAGGTTCTAGGCTGTGACCAAGAAGTGCAAAGCCCCCCACCCCCTTGGGGTGGACATTTACATGGTCAGGGGTGGGGCCCAGAGGAAACCCTTCCAGGTCCCTGGGCTGGTGCTCTGAGGAAGGCGTGAGGCCCTGGGAATCCTGTTCGGCCATCTGTTTGGGGAGAGCCATCTGGGTTGTGTCAGGGGACTTGACATGGTTTGGGGCCTCCTTCCGGGGCTCACCCATTCAGGCAGGTGACGGGGAGACCCACTGAGCAAGCACACGCACACAAATGCACTTCCTTCCAGTTTTCCACACCAAAGACCTTACGTTTGTGTTCTCATCAGTCCTCACCCCAACAACCCCCTGCTGTGCTGGGTGAGCCCTGGGAAGAAGACACCGTGGAACTGGTCAGGAAGACACCCGAGCCTTCCTGGCCACATACACAGCCAGCTCCACTAAATGACATTCCAGTGAAAGCTCACCCCCCAAAACTCACCCCCAACCTCCCAGGCCCTTCGCATACACTAAGCAAAGGAGGCTGGCCTTCATATCTCAGCCACGCATGCCACAAAAGATCTCCAGTGCCTCCTGCGTGCCAGGCACTGTGCTTAGTGGTTCCTGCCCTCAACAGAGTGACAAGGCGCCACAAAACCAAACCATTAAAGGCCGAGCGTGCTCAGAAGGAAACCGTGGAACTGGACAACAGTGAGGCCACGGAGGCCCTAGTTGAAGTGGTCAGAGATGCTCTTTGTAGATGCAGCCTGGGTGAGGGTGGGAGGGGCAAAGTGTGTGCCAGGCAGTGGGGGCACCAGGTGATTGCCGCCAGGGGCCAATGCAATCGGCGCTTTTCACACACCGTTCCCAGGAGTTCTCTAAGGCAGCTCCCGAGAGAGGTAGCTGTGACTGCCCCCCGCCCCCATCTTATTGAACAGGAAACCACCCTTAGGACAGGCTTATTGGCTTGTCCCCAATCGGTCGCTGATCAACAGCGAGGCCAGAATTAGAACTTGGTCTGTTGGCATCAAGACAAGTCCTGGTGGCAGTGGCACAGCCATTAAGTGCCCGGCGAACCCAAAGGTCAGGTGGGTTGCGCCCCAGCAACTCCGTAGGGGAAAGATGTGGCCAGAGGCGGTCTGCATACAGCCTTGGGAATCCTAGGGGCCGGTTCTGCTCCATCCCACAGTGAATCCTGTGAATCCGAGGAGACTCCACCGCAGAGATGTTACGTTTGACACTGGAACCCCTGACCTCCACGATGAATTGTTTGTATGCCTCTCGGATTGCTGTTAGAGACGGCCCCAACTCAGGGGGGGCCTTCAGAAAGGAGTCTGGGTGGTGGCAAAGTGGTGACGCTTTTGAAGCCACCTGCGGCCTCATACACAGTTACGGTCTCGGCAACTCACAAGGCAGTCGTACCCTGCTCTGCACAGGGTCGCTGTGAGTTGGAATCGACTTGATACCTGTGAGTTTGGTTTGGTTTGGTTTGGTTTGGTGTGGTGTGGTGTGGTTTGGTTTGGTGTGGTGTGGTGTGGTGTGGTGTGTGGTTTGGTTTGGTTTGGTGGCCTTCAGGGAACCCTCGAACAAGTTTGAATGTGAGTTCTGTGAGAATTTCCTGGGGACAGACGGCCTGGGCAGGGGTTGGGCTCGCAGTCATTACCTTTGTCTGGAAATCCACAAGCATTAGGAGGCTGATACTATCCAATTGTGTCTGAAATCTTTATTTTATAGAAGTGGTTTTTGACAGCGTGCGAGAAAAGGCAGTGATGCTAGCGGTGGGTCCCTTTGTGTTTATCAGTATTGCCGATGTGGTTCCCGGTCTTACTGCAAATGTCAGCTCTGTTAATGGGGGTTTGCTGCCCCCATGGAGGACACGTACAAGATGTGCGTGTGCCGTGTGTGCGTGTTACAAATCCGTCACTGTCCCGAGTAGCAGGAGCTTCCTCACATCTAGGCCTGGCGCTTCTCGGGCATGAGAGGTACCCATGTCGTTTGCTCAGTGCAGAACTCCCTTCCCACAAGCTCCCATCAGAAAGCGGACCGGTCTCAGAGCTGCACCCCATTGTCCCGACGGGGCTAAGATCCAAGGGACAGAACAACAAGGCTTGGTCTGGCCTGGGCCACCTTGGCAGTTTCTGGAGGATGAGACGCTGAAGAAGGGGGCCTCAAGACGAAAGGGTGTTACGGGTCTTTGGAGGTTTGCAGCCAGTGGTTGATTTCCTGAAACGGTGCTCTCCTGCGCCCCCCCACCCCCCAGTTTAAAAATCTTTTGTAAGCTCCAAGAACCAGATCCATTAGCTCAAAAGCTCCCTACCTTCGGGTTGCTGGGGACTCATAGCGACCCCCCCTCCCATGGGTTTCTGAGACTGTCGTCGTTTTCGGGAGTAGAAAGCACAGTCTTTCTCCGTGGGGGGAATGGCTGACCCTGTGGATGGCAGCCCAACACATAACCACTGCTCCACCAGGGCTGCTACTCAGAGCCATGAAAGGGGCATTAAAAAGGAAAAAGGGAGGGAAACGTGAAGGCTTTAACGTAACATCCTACGAGCTAATGCGGTGCTTGGATTGGCTTCCAGGCATCTCGGACGGTGATCCACAGCGCAGACATCACCTTCCAGATGCTGGAGGACTGGAGGAACGTGGACCTGAGCAGCATCACCAAGCAAACCCTTTACACCATGGAAGACTCTCGAGACGAACACCGGAAACTCATCATCCAGTGTAAGACGATTCCACCGGGGGTGGTGTCTTTTAGTTTGGGGCTTGCCTGCTTTGTAAGACGTTGGTAAATAACCCCATGGCATTCCCACCCTGTTCCTCCTCCCTGGAATCCCCTCCTTATTGTTTCTAGTAAATGGGTCCGTCCAGAGGGGAGGGTTCATTGATTGAAGCGGATATGTGTCAACATTGCTGGGGAGAAAGGGTTCTGGTGCAGCTGGGCAGCGCACAATGTCGCATAAAAGACTCCGCATGTGACCCTGAATGCCAGGCATAGTTCCTGGTTGTTGTTGGGTGCCGTTGAGTCCACTCCAAGTCAGAGTGACCCTGTGGGCCACAGAGCAAAACACTGCCCGGTCCTGCACCACCCTCCCAAAGGTGATGTTTGAACTCTTTGTTGCAGCCACTGTGTCAATCCATCCAGTCAGGGAGGCTTAGCCTTTCTCTTTTTCACTCTCCGACTTTACCAAGCCGGGTGTCTCCTCCCAGGCACCGGTCTCTCCTGCTAGCATGTCCAAAGTCGCGTGAGATGAAGTCTCTCCGTCTTCGCTTCTAAGGAGCATTTCTGGCTGAATTTCTTCTTCTGGTAGTCGACAGTGCTTTTCAGGATTCTTCACCAACACCATCATTCAAAGGCATCCCTCCTGCTTCCTTGGTCTTCCTCACTCACTGGCCAGCTTTCACGGGCATTTGAGGCCATGGCGAATACCCTGGCCTGGGCCAGGCTCACCTGAGTCCTCAACATGAGACCCTTGCTCTTTGAGACTTTAAAGAGGTCGTGGGCAGCAGATTTGCCCAATGCAGTACCTCCTTTGATTTCCTGACGGTTGCTTCCAGAAGCACTGCTTTGTGGATCCAAGGAAACGCCATCCCTGACAAGAGCCAAGCTCCACAGAGGTGGCATTTTATCAAATGTGTCTCTCAAGGTGTGTCAGCGGAATGGGTGCGTAGTTTTCAGTGGAGGGTCTCACAAGCCAGCCCACCTATTATTGCCAAGTAAAGAAACGGATTGTTCAGTCTCCTTCAATACGCTGTCTGTTGAGGGGGTGGATGACGGTTGACATGTGGGGACAGACATGGCATATAGGCTGCAGGTATACTGCTCCAGACAGACAGCATACAGCTGGAGTTAGTTGCTTATTCTTGTGCTAATGGAGCAGGAGGGCCCCAGAGAGCACTGCCCTTTGGAACACATGTCTGCCATTCCTCAAATACCCACCCCATTTGCAGGCCAGGGCAGGCAGCTCCCC